CAAAAAAAAGTCATAATTCAGTCAAATTATATTGCAAGATGCAATGCACCAAAGTAGGGCTGAACAAATTTGGGGGCTGAATGTGATTTTTGTGATTTTAAAATTGTGGCGTTAATTTGAAAAATGTGATTTAAAAAAGAAAAGTTTTAGATCTCTAGATTTGCTGTATTATTTGTTGTGCTGCGCAATTTGGCCACAAATTATTTTTATATTATATTATATTATATTATATTATATTATATTATATTATATATAAACACTGCAATATATTGAATATTTAATAATAATACTAATAATGAGAATTTTATTTTACATATATTACATTAATTGATATATCAAAGCTTTTGTGACTTGATAATCGCACTAAACCATATCACAATTTTTCCGACTTGTTCATCAAAGCACCTTAAAGTGAGAAAATCAGCAGCGCATTCTAATGCAAAATTATCCACCGTGTTACTTTCTGAGGAGAAAAAAAACAATGTAACCTGGTTTTTACTGTTGAACATAAAATGGTTTAATGCACAAAATCTAAAAAACAAAAATTATAATAATAATAAATGAATGCCTGATTGTATTACAATGAAAATTGTAAAGCATCCTTGTGTATTACAGTGAGAATTTGATAAGAAAATGTTTAATTGTCATGAAAAAAATCTTGATAAATAAAAAAATAAAATAATAATAGGTTTAATTTTCTTTATTGCATAAATATAGTCACATTTACATAAAATCAGAAAAAATAGGGCTGCAGATTTTCTGGTATTGATATTATATATATAATATTACTATAATATATGATACATACTATAATGATATTGAAGATTTGTATTATTATTTTTAGAACAAATCTAATTTTTATTACAGTAATGTGACACTAGATATATTACTTAAATTGTGTTTATGGCATTGTTTTAATTACAGTAATGAGAATCTAATATTTAAATCTATATATTAATTAGAAGAATTACAAAAAAGGGTTCACAGTATTAAAATGCTTTACAATAAGAATTTGGGAAGAAAGTGTGTTTAATTGTCAAGAAAAAAATCAAAATACTGTACAAACAAAATCTTGATAAACATAAAAATAAAATAAGACTTTTTTTTATTGCATAAATGTATGATTTATTAAAATCAGGAGGAATGTTCATTTATTTAGTTAGTTAATTTAATTTTTAGAGGATGAAATGTGACCTATGTACAGCTTTTGTAAGGGGCTGCAGATGAAGCACAAGTCAGTGTGAGGATTTGGACAGGTCAGGTCAGTCTGCTGAGGAGGATATTACCGTCAAATCAGAAGACTGTTTAAGAGGATTATGAGGGGAAATAAGGGTCTCTGTCTTAACACGTCAGAGAATAAGATTGTGTCTTCATACTTACAGTCTGTTACTCTGACACACTCTTTGCTCAAAAAAATGCAAAGAAGTTGCCGTGTGAAAGTGCTGAAGTTTTTTGCCATTACATATGTTTATCCCATCATTAATTACCTTAAGAAAGAGAGCGTGTGCTCAGGGAAACCTTTAGTAGATGTGTTTTTATGTGCTGAATGAGATTTACATCATATGTTTCTATTGCATTGCATGCAGCACGAACTGAAACAATCATACAAATACAAACAGCCTAAAAATACAGCTTGTATCTTGAATAAGGAAAGACTGACATTTCTGAAGCCGTTTGTCAATGGCATGTTGTTTTTGAGTGTGTTTCAGCCGAAGCTCACATGCATTCAAGAGTAAACAAACAGGCGATTGGCTCCTTCAACTGTAAGGTTACAGTATAAGACTGGTGTTATGATTGCTCCTCTTCTTGTTTATACAAGAGGACCGTCTCATTTCATTGAGAAGCCTCTGATTTGAGTGATTCATTAGAGATTGAGTCACAGCAGAGTCAGTATATCTCTTGAGACTGGCCACTTGTATTAACACGAACGGGAGAAATTCTCCTCAAATGCCTCTCAAATAAAAGAGCCAGTTACAGAAAAGTCGATGTTTGGTCTTTATGATTGTAAGAAACAGCCATGAAGTGCCTAATGTTGCTCTCAGGTTTTGCTTTGCTGCCCGAAGTGTACAGTTGTTTGTGCTACTTGAGGGCAAGAAACAATGTTTATGATATTGGCATCAGGGATATAATAGTAATAGCTAAAAGTTTTATTTCATTTTTTTTATTTTTTATTAATTAATTTTATTTTAGTGATGTACTAAAATAACTAAAACGGAAATATAAATGAAAGTAGACATATTATGCCACTTTTTACAATATGTAATATAAGTCTCTGGTGTCCCCAGAATGTGTCTATGAAGTTTCAGCTCAAAATACCCCACAGATCATTTATTATATAATTTTTGAAAATGCCTATTTTGAGTGGAAGCAGAAACACGCTCTATTTCGGGCCTGTCTCTTTAAATGCAAATGAGCTGCTGCTCCCCGCCCCCTTTTCCATAATAGAGCTGCGCCATTACAGCTTGTACCTGCTAAAAACACATCTGTTTTGGATCTGATTATCATGTTTATTGTGCTGAAAAAATGCGTTTTAAATAGGGCTGCACGATTAATCGCATGCGATATTTAACGCGCATCTTGTCAGAAAGCCGGTTCTGTAATCAGCGGTAAATCTCCATCACCTGCGGGCTTTCACATTGAGC